TCCTGCTTGGTTTTGAATTGTGATCCTTGATCTCAGCCTCCTGAGTAGTTAGGATTGCAGGTATGAGCCACCAGTGCCTGGGTTTTGTCAGTAATTTTATTCATAGCATTCACAATTAATAACTCTTTTCATACATCATTATTTTAAATGTAACAAAAAACAAATAAAAATGTACCAATTAACATAATCAGTACTTTAAGGGCAAGAACAAAGTTAATCTTCACTACTGATTTAGGTTATGCTGTTTAAGTACATTAAAATACATAATTTGATCTATTTGTTCAGTAATTGAATTGTTGAATGTTGCTATTTCTTCTTAGCTTTACTTTTCAAGGTGATTCTCAAACTGATCTTAAAAAGGAACCTAGATTTATTTAACACCCCAAAGTGTAAAAAAAAAAAAAGATGGCTGCTTCTTTATAGGTACCAGTAGTATTTGTCTGATGCATGAACATAATTCATATGCATACAATTCAGGAATCTGAAAAATTTTAAAGAAAATTTTCAGTGTTATGGTTTTATGAATGAGAAATTAAAATTGAAAAAGATCTCAGTCCTTACTTGCCTATACAGGATATGTGTATGAAATATGTACATACACACATATAAAATAATTTAAAAATAAGTAAATAAGAAACTTGTAAAATTATTTACCTGTTTGATTTGTTTCCATATTATTGCTCTTAGGCAACATTTTGCTCTTTTTAACTTTCAAAAGAAGATGATAAAAATTCACAAGGGCCAGGCGCCGGTGACTCATGCCTGTAATCCTAGCTACTCAGGAGGCTGAGATCTGAGTATCAAGGTTCAAAGCCAGCCCAGGCAGGAAAGTCCGTGAAACTCTTATCTCCAATAAACCACCAGAAAACTGGAAGTGGCGCTGTAGCTCAAGTGGTAGAGTGCTAGCCTTGAGCTGAAATGCTGAGGGACAGTGCTCAGGCCCAGAGTTCAAGGCCCATGACTGACAAAAAAAAAAAAAAGAAAAGAAAAGAAAAAAGAAATTCACAAGGTATTTTGACTCCATAAATAAGTATATTTTGTGCTTAAAAACTAGGTAGAACTAAGGGCCCAGGGGTCTTGGAAGATAAGTGTGATAGTGAATTGTGTGGAAAAGATTATTAAGGGTCCCATCAAATCCCATCTTTCCCATTTGTTCTCAACACCAGGGCAGCAGGAAAGGGAGATTGCTATAGCTTACATCAGCCTAGTATCTACAGCTTGATTCTATTTCTGACCCTGAGAAACATGACCATGTGGCCCACTGGCTCCTCCTCCCAGTTGTTGTATGTACTCTCACTTCATATTTGGCCACAAGCTTCCTGGGAACAGAGCCCTGCCATGAGGCTCCTATTGCCAACAGGAGCTTCTTTACTCTCAGGAAGCTAAAAGTCAAGCCGCTAGAGTTGGGGTTGCCTAACCTGGGCAAATACTTGGCATGGAGTTTACTTCCTAGATTAAGCCTTAGGTGCATTGAACATTGGCTGGATATTACATTTAGTTCCTTCCCTATTCTTATAGGAGACCTCTTAATATTAATGGTTAAGTATCCCATGCTCTAGGGACATATTGGCTAAGAGAAAAATTCTAGTATTACTGCTTGTTATCCATATGATCTTTAGTAAGTTGCCTAGCATTTCCATGCTTCAGTTTTGTTTTTGTTTCTGTTATTTTTTCATTTCCACTATGGGGAAATGGTAATGCTCATGAAGATGAAAAAATAGTGCCAATGTTGTATCTGTAATATTGCTATGTATAGTGGTTTCAGCCTAACAGTATTAAAGTGAGAGTATCAAAGGAAAGATCAAGAATATGAGGTATAACAGGTCCATTCAGAAAGTGTAATATCTAGCTGGGTGCCGGTGGCTCATGCTTGTAATCCTAGCTACTCAGGAGGCTGAGATCTCAGGATCTCCGTTCAGAGCTATCCTGGGCAGGAAAGTCCATGAGACTTATCTCCAATTAACCACCAGAAAAACAGAAGTGGCATTGTGGCCCAAGTGGTAGAGCATTTGCCTTGAGCTGAAGAGCTGAGGGACAGCACCCAGGCCCAGAGTTCAAGCCCTACAGCCTACAAAAACGAAACAAAAAAGCAAAGTGCAATATCTGAAGTTCATTAGAAAAACCAGCTCAGAGGAGGCACAAATCTTAAACATTTCATGAAAGAAAACTTTTTAGAATAGTGACCAAATAAAAGTCAATTAAGATTGCGGTGCATTATTGTAGTATGATAGTGATTGTTTAGAATAAGTGAAAGATGTTTTGACCAAAGTGTGGAAAAACGAGTTTAGTCACATCTACTAAATAGAAATACAAATTGATACCGTTTCTGGGATACCTAAATGGCAAAATAAGTTAAAGATCCTTAAGTGGTATAAACTAACTTAGTCCTTGATAATACTTTTAGTTTTTATACTATTGCAATTAGGTTTGCAGCATAAAGAACCTAATGATTACAATTGACCTATACACTGTTAACTGATACTCAAGTTGAAAATCATTAAGAAAATGACCACAGACCACATAAATCCTCATGTGTCTTTACATGGCGTCTGTGATTATCTTATTGGTTGAGTTCTGTAAACAAGAATCTTGTCTTATTCATGAAGAAAAGCTGACTCTGGCAATAAAGGAACCTGAACTGCATATGAGTTCTTATTCTGTGAGGTAATTTCTCTCTTGAGTTTTGTTGCTATTGGCAAACACATTACTGCTGTGTAACAATAGTGAAATAATGCTATTGTTTCTTGATTTCCTAAATTGAGTATATCAGATAGAACTATAGTTAAAGAATAAGTAATATTTACATAAGAATTGTATAATGTATGTAGATAATGAAAAAATAGCAGTATGACATTTTACTTACCAAATGGACAAATACTTTACAACTTTAAACTAAAATTGTGCATAACGTATACAATTAGGCCCATTTTGACATGTTTATGAACCTATACAGTGAACATTTCTGTCTTTTCCAACTGAAGTTGCTTTATGTCCTTTTGCAGTCTGTCATTCCTGATAGCTTCTCAAAGCAACCACTGACTTTCTTTCCTGCCACTGTTAATATTTAATACCAAAATAGGAAGCAAGGCACTTTCCTATATATCTATGGGAATGTGAAATCATTATCATTTATTTGAATGAGGATTGGTATTGTTAGAGTGTAAAGTATAAAGTGTATATATATATATATATATATATATATATATATATATTCTTTGAACTAGCAATTCTACTTCTGTTCAAAGGAAATAAATTGTAATGTAAATAAGGATTAATTTTTATTATAATTGCCAACACTGGAAACAAATTATATGTGTAGCAACATGTAATTTTTTTCTTTTTCCTCTGATTAGCATATATTAACTTTGCAAAGTGGTTTCACTGTGATGTTTACATACATGCATATAATATACCTTGATCAAATTCATCCCATTCATACTATTTCTTCTTAACCTCTCTGTCACCTCCTGCCTCATTTTAAACAATTTTTAGTGCGTTTCATTGTGCTCTTTTCTTTTTTTTTTTGTTGGTCATGGGGCTTGAACTCTGGGTTGGGTGCTGTCCCTCAGCTCTTCAGCTCAAGGTGAGGGCTCTACCACTTGAGCCACAGTGCCACTTCCGGTTTTCTGGTGTTTTGTTGGAGATTAAGAGTCTCGTGGAGGGCTGGGAAAGTGGCTCAGTGGTAGAGTGCTTGCCTTGCATGCCTGAGGCCCTGGGTTCGATTCCTCAGCACCACATAAGCAAAAAGAAAAAAGCCGGAAGTGGTGTTG